TATTAGCACGACAAAACGAGATTAAAAAGATTAATTTTTAAGAAGTCAAAACAACTGGGGTAGCAAGAATAATGAGGAAGTAAAAACACATAATGTGGTTCAAAAAGACGAAATAAAAATTGTATGTATAAAGGGATACTGAGATTCAATGTCTAGAATAAGACAAAGAATGAATACAGATCTTGAGCCATGTCACACATTTCCGTCCATCAATCGCAGTTATAGCCTGTACGTACTAAAATAGTCAGACCAAGGATCACCGACTTTACATTGACCACCGCGAACTTTTTTCAACTTACTCTTAAACCAGCCAACAGTGGCTGTCGATTTAGACATTTTGGTGTTGTACTCCACTTGGTTACAACTTACGTTCTTCCTGATAATCATCCTGATAATCACATGAGCATCACTCACGAATTATCACCTTGTAAAGATCTATTTAGCCGAAAGCACCGTGTAACATCACATCACCTGTGTTTGTGGATCATGGGCTTTGTCGATTTTAACAATTTTTAGTCACTCTATTTCAAATAAATCGTTTTGTCTTATGCTAAACTCCATAATTGCAACTAAATTGTATGCACGCACCATCAGCCGGTAAATATATAAATAATTGGTTTATTGTACACCAAAACACTTAGTCTAGAGCATGTCTCTCATGGATCCACTCATATTTAACAAACAACTGTTAGTCATCCGTTCAAAATTCCCACAACTGTCATGAATTTTCCGTATTAAATGAACTTCTGATAACCATTCATATGTATTAAAAATCTTATTAGTTCATATCACGGGTAAACAATAATGAGGTCGAGAAAATCTCGCCGTAACTAAATCAACCATGTCAAACTTAACAAACTGGAACATTAGTTGGAATTCTTAATCTTCACGGTTATATTCCTGTTCTTTCGGTTAACCTGCTAATGCAAATACAATTAGAAATCAACTCATACGGACAGTATACCGGCATAAACGCCAAATGACTTTCTAGTTTGAACTAAAGACAATACCGATATCAGCATCGACACAATATTGGTTGTTTTTCTATTTCTAGGTAATCAATCAGATCTTGAAGCCCTTCAACGCTTCAGATTAGGTATGGTCTTTTCAAACTTGCTTACGTGGTTATTTCTACCAACTCATTCGTTGCGAGAAGACAGAGTCACCGTAGATGCTAACTCTGACGAGGACATCTAACTGGCTTAATACCCCCATACAGTTGACGGGATGACTTAGTCCTTGGACCTTACGCTGCAGCTTTGAGTTTTGTCGCTCTCTAACCGACCTTCCCGAAATGGTAAGACCCAACAGAATGAGTGTTCCATCCAATATGGCTAGATGAGGTTATCACGATAAGCAATCCCAACCACCATATCAAGGTGTTAGTTGATTATTGTGTTGACGACTGAAACGCAAGATGAATCTGGCGTGTACCACAGCATAATCAAAATCTAGACAGGTGCTCCAGAAAGTGATAGTCTTATGCACAATAATGCAAACGACTTTCGTCTGAACCGTAGACCCCAACCTGAGTACTGAAGTCCACAGCAAGCATCAAAATATCTACTGGACGCAGATCGTCGTCATTACTTAATTGAGCCACAAACCGTCAGTGGAGATTAAGAAAGTCATTGCTTCTCATGATACTTCATTCTTGCTCTGGTGAAACCACTTCGTCTGTTGGTATATATAATACCACCGTTTTCTGGTGTTCAGTGTAGCTGATAATAGAGAGATTGGATGGTGATTCCATAGGGTCCTGAGAAGGCTCATATAAGACATTTTACGAACAGACAGACAGTGATTCACTAGGATCTTAAGTACAGATTTTTGAGATACGACAAGCAACAATGCTGAGACTCCGAAGTTATCGCCATACTTGTCTGTTGTTTAACATGAATCAAAGTACGAACGGTGAAGTCAGCTAAAAGTTCCACGCACGATTTCAAAATAACTGGATAATTCTGGAACATCACTGCCAAAACGTTTTGATTTAGATATAGTTTGACGAAATAATCATAAAAAGATATCAAAACTGTTCCCAATAGAAATTAGTATTAAATTACATCTTAAACGTTTTAGTTGCTGTAAAACACATTACGTCCAAGACGTAAAACGTAAAATTAATGCACACAACAAACCTCTGTCAATGCCGAGACCTGTGACATAAACTCTTCCCTTGAAGAAATAGCCCATCGGTTAGTTGGACCTAATGGTCCATTATCGATCACTCTATTATTTGGGACCCAAGAACTTGTTATCGTTCCCAAAGATAGCCATAATTCAAGATTTATGTGAACATCTGGTAGTTTGTAACAGCTGAAAATAACAATTCCATGGTATTCACGTACAAAACAAACGAGTTCGTATTTATATTCAAAACTAGGATACAAAGCATCAGGGATAATTCATTTAAAAGGATGGAAAAATCAGTTCGTGTGAAATCATAGGACAATACTTATCATCAGCAACGGATCATATGGAAATTATCATCAAGGTTGTGTTAAACCAAACGGAAATTACATTTCTGTTAACTATTTATATGAGTTAACACAAGTATATGAAGAAAGTTTTTCACATGCTCAGATAGCTTAGAAACAAAATTTTTACACCTGATTTTATTTAAACACAACATTTGTACAGAAGGGCACACAAATACGTATGCATCTACCTAACTACTAACACAATGATCTGACAATCCTCTTTACAAGAAGCTTGAAACCTGAACAGGCTCATACAACTGGTTATCCAGTTAGCCTTTCAAAGTACTAAGTTCAAAAGGAACTTCAGGAACTAATAGTTGTCAGTGACTTAAATAAACGATGTTAGAGTTTGTAACGCGTCCCAAAAAATTCGCAAAATCGTTGAAACGCTTAGGCATAGATATGAACGACGATGAATTTGAAATTCACTTTGCAAAGGGATTAACAATACTATCAGGGTGTAAGCACTGCAGGAAGTGAAATTTAAACTTGGAAATCTGCACAACACACAATTGTTTTCCTGACGCATACCTATGCCCATGAAATATTCTTGTAATTGGAGAACATCGCAAAGAATGTATCTGGACTAAGCAATTTGTGGTGTAAAAAGTGGATGTACATGAAATTCTACTGTACAAATGTCAGCAAGTACCAACTATTAAAAAATAAGAACGATGTTAGCCTTTCACAATTAAAACAGCAGGTTGTAAATTCTGATCGCCAGGTATCTCGAGCTACACATCATTTACCCACGAATTATAAATACAGTATTATAAAGAACCATATGACCTTACCACGTGGCGCTTAAAGACTCTTAACATTCATGACCATCGCGCAGTTTATCAGTGCTCGGGGAGATCCATTATCAAACACCGGGTACGTCTTATGTCAACCAGTTACTATCGAAACATCCAGATTACTCAAATATTCTTTCGGTGAATTACGCCAGAAAGTAGTATTTTTACGTTCTCCCACATGTATCCCAATATATATAGTTACACTCCTTATGTACATAGGAACATGAGTCGGTTGTGAAACAAACCAGTACGTGTTTTTTAGGATTTAGTGAAAAAGAAACACGATGTTGGAATTTAAATTCATGACGATACATTTCTTTAGCAAAATCCTGAGTACATGAGATGTTCACACTCATCGGACATATAAATATGTTTAACCCTAATATCTGAGTTACGCACAATCTCATTATGACCGTGTACAGGGAATTCGCATAGAAAACAAAACTAAAGATCAAGACTCAATCACATACTTTTTCACTTACTTAGAATCTTTGCAATCTAATCTACTAATTGCTAGTCTAGGATGATCCATATCCTGTTTGACAAATTCTATAAACTGATAGCCAAGTCTTTCACGTGCCAATATTTCAAATATGTAGTTGACAATCCAATGCGACGATCGGTTTGTGACTTCCAACTTTAGACGGAGCTCCTGGTTGTTAAAGTGAAAAGATCTATTCCATTTCGATCGTTCTAAGGAATGCAATTATAATAAAGTAGATTACCATACCTGACATACTAAGACATGAGGGGGTAGGTGAATTTGAATCCAAACAGCTACCGAATGTGATTAAGAATGTGACAAGAAAAACAAGCCGATAGCTTAACTTGAAAATCGGACGATCCATCTATTTATGATATCCACAGACCATTTCCCCCATCTTGAGCGAAACCTGCAGCTTCGAGGAAACTTACATGATTATTCACGCGAACCTAAATAAGACAGCAATGAGCTAGGTTACAAAATTGTTTGAAAAACATTCGTCTGTAAAAAACTTAGTTTGCATGATTATAAAAACAGATGAAAATTATTCAGAAATAGTACAGCTAATAGGAATGTAACTAACCCAGCTTTGAGCTGAGCTGATGATTCTACTCGCCTGATTTGAATGATTTAGCTGGATCGGGATATGAACTTATGATCTACTGGCTGAAAGTCATCCTTCGCACCTTGGATTATGTTCAAAATACATGCCTTTAGTACATTGATAGAGAAATCCTGTTTCTTTAATACTTACCAACTTACACACATCATGGCACCGATGAGACTCGATTTTAAGAAAGCAGATAACTACGTTAGTTTCTGTTGAAACAGTAGAGATTGAAGTACATACGAATAAATCAGGTCACTCCCATTTGATCAGTATATTGAGTTGCAATAAATTATCAGTATGTGTTAGTGATCTGTCTAAAACAAGTGGAAACAGGCTGTGCTTCTCATATCTAATCAAAAGTCATCTCGATATAATATGATTACGGAAGACGGGTTAATTTGGATAGTATATAGTAAGCCAATACATTAGACTGCTTTACAGAGTTATCGACTTAATGGAAGTTACGTTGTAATTAACTTTTTGTGTCTGGGATTAGATGTGACAGGAATCGGTAGAAATTTTTAATGAAAGGTTAAGTCTCAATTTAACTTTATAGAAGTATTTAACTCTTTCTTCACTTATTACCTACTTTTTTACCGTGATATTTTTTTTTTATTGATTTTCTTACATTGTAGTTTGTGCGGGCGTGGTAATGATACGCCTTCAGGTCACTTAGCTGACCGAGAACTTGTATTATTTTATGGGACTAACTTTTCACGATCCATTTAAAAGGATAGTGGTATTGTTTCTCGTTGAGTTAATCAACTGTTTTGGTCGTAAATTACGCATCAAAACTACTGTTTACACTTTAATTGCATCTACCCCAGTTAAAGTGATATTGTATTGAGTTTTTCGATTTTGCTTCTGTGTATTTATTGCATCGAAGCATACTTGGTCGACTTTTACTTGGTTTATTTAGTTAAGGTTTGAAAATCCTTTTACATATCCTGTTTGTGTCACCGTTCTAGTTGATTTTCAAGATGGCTAGGTCTTATAAATGTGGACAACCATACTGCTTATTTCCCGTGGATGAAGGGATGCAATGTGATGAGTGTAATAAGTGGTTCCATAAGATGTGCACCCGATTAAGCCCCACTGCATATAAAAGGTGTTCAAAGCCCAACTCTCATTGGCTTTGTAGTTTTTGTTGCTCGAGCAAAACATTGCTTATCCAGGAAGCAATTAGTCTCCTGGTGTTGGCTAATAAGAAGGTTGATGAGGGCTGTACTGATAACATTGGTACGGATGGCGAAGATTGCGTTAGTGTCGTAAGTGCTATCACGGCGCAAGCCAGACATCTACCTGTGCAACCCGCAGTTAAACGTTCTCCCCCGAAACGATCAGTGAGTGACACGTCATTAGACGTTGGTGGCCATATTGCTACAGCAGCAACCGGTGACCCAGATAAAACAATTACTGTCCCGAGTTGTTCTAATGTAGACGTTTCGACTGATGGAAAATGGATGACGCGAAAACGCAGAAGAGTAGGAAAGATAGCTAAAACTAATGACTGTTTACTTGGTAAGTCCTTGGTGGACTCTCAGACCAATCCGCCAAAGTCCCATAGTAAAGCTTCGTCTGACATTGTTGTGAGTCATTCGCTTGACTCCCAGGACTCTGTTAAAATAAAAACTAATCGTAAGATACCAGTAGTTAAAATACAGGATCTAACGTCACGGTCGAAAGCTGTGAACACAGTTTCAAAAGAAGCTAAACCCCTCCCTAGTTTAATTATTTGGAATCTAGAGGAGTCGAAAGACAACGACCCTGCTAAAAGACACGCACATGACCTACAGTTAGTGGAGTCTGTGGTAAGGAATGTACTACCTGAAGAGGTTTCAGGGGTACATATTACAAAAGTAATACGACTTGGTAAATGGGTTGGAGGCGAGACCCAACCAAGAAGAATCCTGAAGCTGGTTCTCGGGAGTTTCGAAGAAAGAGACATATTATTGAAAAGCGCACAAAAACTCGTGCCTCAAATATCCGTATTCGACCAGATTGGCCGCTTGAGGATCGAATCAAGTGGAAGAATGCTCTTACGGAGTTGAGGACTCGCAAATTAAATGGCGAAAATAACCTTACCATTAAGGGTTTTCGGGTAGTCAGGTCTTGGAAGCCAATGCTTCCGAGGCCTGTATGGGTAGAACGATTGATTTCCAAAACACCTTAAGTGTGTGCTACACGAACGCTCGTAGTCTTAGAAATAAAACGTCCGAGCTAAGTCTGATGGTGCAAGAATTATGTCCCGATATAATCGTTGTTACAGAAACTTGGTTCACCGTTGATATAGACTGTTCTCCTTTCATTGCTGGTTATATCTGTATCAGAAGTGATAGAGTTTCAAGTCGCAAGGGGGAGGTATAATATTTTACGTTAGGGATCACTTTCGTATACAATCAACCATATCGGAGGCTCATATCAGTGGCACATGTGAGGTTGCATGTTGTAAGATTAAATCTAGAAATGGGTTAGTGACTATAGGGGGAATATACCGTAGTCCGTCTTGTCTGGCTGACGACTTTATCCTAAGACACATCTGTTCTTGGAGTATGGCAGAATGTTGTCTCATCATTGGGGACTTCAACGCACCGCATATCAACTGGATAGAGCTTACAGCTCCAGGTAGTGGTTTCGATAGCGACCTTTTATCTACCGTTATTCAGTGTGCACTTGTACAATGTATCACAAAACCGACACATATTGATTTGCATCATGTTCCGTCACTGCTGGACCTCGCCCTCACCCACCACTCTGAGGATGTCTTTGATATCCAGCACCTTCCTCCACTAGTGAACAGTGATCACGTTGTAATTCACTTTAAGTTTAGGACACATGGTATACAATTCGTATCTGCTCCACCCCGTCCCAATATCTGGCGAGCTAATATTCCGGAAATCAGAAACCGTGCTATCTCGACTGATTGGTCGGTCGACGCGGATGGATTGATCGAAGATGAATGGAATAAGTTTAAGGCTACATTCGAGTCCGTAACGTCGCCGTTTATCCCATGGTCAGCACGTAAGCTATCACATTGCCCTCCATGGATTAATAAGGAAACCCGGAAGCTGTTAAAGCGTAGGAAACATTTCTGGGACTTATTCTTGTTGACAGGTCATGCACCATTTAAGCGTGAGTATCAAAAATACCGTAATATCTGTAAGAAAACCATAGCGAAATCCCGTACCACTTACGAACGACAGTTAGTATATGATAGCCGTACTTGTCCGAAACGATTGTTTTCGTATGTTAAACGGCAAATGAAACGTAGTGATGGTATTCCCCCGTTGCTGTTACACGAAAATTCAGAATTACTAGCTGAATCAGATCGAGCAAAAGCTGAGACTTTTTCAGATTATTTTAGCGAAGTCTTCTCTACGTTTATTGTAACAAATACTTGTCCCACTCACACCGAGATACCAACCATTGAATCCGTACAGGTGACTGAGGAAACTGTCCTTCCGTTGATAACTAACCTCAAACCTGGTAAGATACCGGGCCCTGACGGGTTACATCCACGGTTGCTGTCATCTCTTGCGGACATTATTTCAAAACCGCTTGCGACACTCTTCAACATGTCCCTCTCACTCGCCCAACTCCCTAGAGATTGGAAGGACGCTATAGTTAGTCCTATATTTAAGGACGGTCAGCGACAGATAGTATCTAACTACCGGCCTGTCAGTCTAACTAGCATAGTCGTTAAGTTACTCGAAAAGATAATTCGGGTTAGGTTGCTAAGCCACATAGATTTACACAATCTGTTAGCTCCTGAGCAACACGGATTTCGTAACAAGCGTTCATGCTTGACTAACTTGCTTATTGCGAGGGAGGATTGGACAGCAGCCCTAGATCACGGTCTGTCTGTCGACGTGATATTCATAGATTTTAGCAAAGCGTTTGACAAGGTTTCACACGTAGGTCTTATGCAGAAGCTCACGAGCTTCGGAATAATAGGTACTGTACATGAGTGGATAGGAAATTTCTTATGTGACCGCAGACAGAGAGTTAGGGTCAATGGAACGCTATCCGATTGGAAGCCGGTCAAAAGTGGTGTACCCCAAGGCACCATCTTAGGCCCTCTGCTCTTCCTTCTCTACGTTAATGAGTTACCACTGTTACTTAGGTCGTCGACATTATTGTTTGCAGATGATGTAAAAATCTGGAGAACAATAAAAAGTGCGGCTGATCATGTGGATCTTCAAGCTGATTTAGACGATTTAGTTAGATGGGCTCGAGAGTGGGGCTTAGAAATTAATGCTAGGAAGAGTGTACTAATGCACGTCGGTCACGGTAATAGTTACCGTTACACTATTGAGGGTAAACCTCTTCCATGCGTTCAAGAGCATAAGGACTTAGGAGTAATATTAAGTCATGACTTAAAAACAACTGCGCATTGCAAAGCAGCCGCTGTCAAAGGTTTTCGTGCGTTATGGTCACTTCGCCGAGCGTTCAAATCTTTTGACGAGGAAACGTTTCGAATTTTATACCCCATATATGTTAGACCACATTTAGAGTACTGTATCCAAGCAGCTAGCCCGTGTCTAGTAAAGGATACTAACTCCCTTGAGCGTGTCCAGCGTGTGGGAACGAAATTAGTGAAGGGTCTTTCTAGACTCCCTTACGATGAGCGCTTAAAACGCCTAAATCTTTTCCCCTTGTCGTATCGTAGGACACGAGGTGACCTTATACTGGCATTTCGTATCTTTAATTATGATTTGGGTGTTAATATGTCTTATCTTTTTGCTCCCTCCAGCACTAATAATCTCCGAGGTCATAGCAAGAAGGTTCATAAACCACGATCTAATAAACTTAAAGTGGGATCCCGTTTTTCTCATCGAGTAGTCAATCATTGGAACGCCTTACCCGAACAAGTGGTATCAGCCCCATCAGTGAATACTTTCAAGGAAAAGCTGGACCTTCACTGGAAAGCAATGTGTCAAGATTAATACAGGTTCACCAACCTTCTATCCTTGTAACTGAAGACATAGTATTGAGATAAAATAAGCAGGTTACCAGTACTTCAGTCAACACTAGCCTTTCCCAAACAGCTGTTATGATATCAAATCGAGAGTGCCAGAGTAGGGGCTAGTTGCACGGGTATGAAGCACATTCAAGTTACTCACCCACCTTTGTTAGTAATAAGGACTACGTAATATTCATTTGATAGTCCCACTATGTATCAGCGACCCTTCAAAGACACCTAAAGCTAAATAAATACAAGCTACATTTGTTCTGTCTGTAAAAGTAATATCTAACAGTCCATGTGTGGCTGTACAGTATAATTGTTTTGCGATATTTAAAACATTTGCCTGTTACCAGGATTGAAGACTGACAGAAACAATGTGGTCCTTATAATCCTACCGGAATATTGTCACCAAACAACCATTGCCATTGTCATGAACACTATATACCGAATTTAGGCTGTTTGGATGTTTATGTCTAGAGCAGACCCAGTTGTCGGATGGATGGACTTGGGAGATTGCTTTGTAGTACCGAACTTTGTATTTATGTGGCTTGATAGGTTATTTTCCTAAACAAGCAGTTTACGGCTGAAGGCGATGTTTATTGACATGCGATGATTCTGTGAGCAGCTATATCCACAAGTTGCACTTGATAAAAGTCGTGTGAGAAGGAGAGTAATTTTTTGTCCTGACATCTGATGAGGACATTTTTACTATACGTTAAAGAGAACTCAATAGGTCACACTAAGATGTACCGTAGTATAGACTGTATGCATAAAGAACTCACAGTATACAAGTCATAGGACGAGGTTGATTAAATACATGAGGCTATTTATATATAAATATACAAACTGAAAACCCAGAAACCAATTATAGTCAGACGCTATTTTAATGTCTTTATCAATAGCAGTCATACATATCAAGATACAAAGCTAAACACTAATCACATTCACCAGTGTAAATAAGTTCACAGAACACTCAAAATGCATGTAAACCGCTTTGGAGTACAAATACGAAACCAGACAGCATACTAAACACAAGCGACAAACCCACATGGTAATCGATATCAACGTTCAGTAAAACAACTAGGCGTCCTCGTGTAGGCCAACTTATTTCAAGGTCCAATTTTATGTCAAAGCCTCCAAGTATCACTTCTTAATCTATTATTTGACTGGTAGCTAACGATTCAAGTCCGAAAAATATTATAATACTAAACCATATGTAAGACTGAGCAAAGGTCGATAACCAGGTATATATCTTAGTGATGATCCAGTTGAGATAAAATTTCTTTTTGACTTCATATATTTAAGTTACTCTGAAATTCTAAGTTATCAGAATGGTCCAAAAATGGAAGTACGACTACTTGGCAGTGACATTTTTGGTAAATTTGGCAATTACAACCCGGGGCTGTTGGGTTTCTAGAACTATCAGCTTAGATGTTGCAAAGCAGGAGACTGGTTGGGTGTATTGCGAAAGTTGCAGAACTAGAATCCGGGGCAATAAAGAAAGCAAGGCAAGAAAAACAAGTAGAATTTCCTCCTTTTAACATGTAAATGTGTGTAGTGCCAAAAATAACTCAAGTCAGCACACCTAACCTACTCCGAAAGACATGAGCGATAACGAGCCCTTTAAAACAATTAGTCCCTTTGATAAATTTCGATAATGCAATGAGAAGACGAAGATTATCAGAACTATGTGATATATTAGCGCAATACATTTCGACCAGATTGTTCGAAATGTATTGCGCTAATATATCACATAGTTCTGATAATCTTCGTCTTCTCATTGCATTATCGAAACGAGCCCTTTGTTTGGATCTCAGTGATAGATACTGGTACTTGCCAGGCCCTCTGTTAGCAACGAATATAGGTCAGAATTCGTAGAGGTTCTAGATAAGCAATGACCTCAGAGTTGATAACCAGTCTGTCTCTTTTATATAGTTTGCGATTCCATAGTATGGAATTTCTGGATGTCAAATGTCAAACCATTTTTCGTCCCCCCCCATCTTTCACTAGCATCAAGTCTCTATGACGCTACCATTAATCTCCTTCAAATATGATAGCTTTCCACATTTTAGTGTCATCCTAACAGTTCGAGACTGATTAGCTAAGATTTTCTGGGAAGTAGCTGATAAATAAGGGGAACTGTAAAGCGCTCTATATGTTTAGTTGTGATACCTCACACACTGATGCTTTAAAGACTGAACATATCTTTGCTATAGAATCCCCAGTTTTGTGGATAGTCCTGTGGTAAAAAAGAGGTGATCTGTGGACACTGTTCGCATAACCTTAGCCGGATGGGCAATGTGCAACACTTACTTACTTACATTACTTACGCCTGTTACTCCCAATGGAGCATAGCCCGCCGACCAGCATTCTCCAATCCACTCTGTCCTGGACCTTCTTTTCTAGTTACATCCAATTCTTATTCATTTTTCTCATGTCCATCTCCATTTCCCGGCGTAATGTGTTCTTTGGGCTTCCTCTCCTCCTTTGGCCTTGAGGATTCCATGTGAGGGCTTGTCTTGTGACGCAGTTGGGTGTTTTCCTCAATGTATGTCCTATCCACTTCCAGCGCTTGTTCCTAATTTCTTCCTCCGCTGGGATCTGGTTTGTTCTCTCCCATAGTTGGTTGTTGCCGATAGTATCTGACCAACAGATCCGAAGTATTTTGCGTAGACAACTGTTAATAAACACCTGTATCTTCTGGATGATGGCTTTCGTAGTTCTCCAGGTTTCCGCCCCATACAGTAGAACTTTCTTGACATTTGTATTGGAAATTCCTACCTAGATGTTGGTTGACAGTTGTTTTGCGTCACAAATGTTCTTCAGTTGTAGATATGCTGATCTTACTTTGCCGATCCGCGCCTTCACATCTGCATCAGATCTACCATGTTCATCAATGATGCTGCCCATATATGTAAAGGTTTTTACATCTTCCAAATCTTCTCTGTCAATTGTGACTGGATTGGTGCATGCTGTGTTGTAACAGAGAATCTTGCTTTTCCCTTTGTGTATATTGAGACCTACTGCTGCTGAGGCTGCTGCCACACTGATCGTCTTCTCCTGCATTTGTTGTTGCGTTTGCGATAGAACAGCCAGATCATCTGCGAAGTCTAAATCTTCCAGCTGCATCCTAGATGTTCACTGTATCCCGTGCTTCCCCCAGATGTTGGCATTTTCATAATCCAGTCGATCACCAGGAGAAAGAGAAAGGGTGAGAGTAAGCAACCTTGCCTGACACCGGTCTTTACTTCGAGTGAGTCTATCAACTGTCCTCCATGCATGATTTTGCAGTTTAACCTATCAAAGAAATTCCGTATTATATTGACTATCTTCCCAGGCACACCGTAGTGTCGAAGAAGCCTCCATAGTGTTGTCCTGTCCACGCTATTAAGCGCTTTCTCGTAGTCAATGAAGTCGATGTAGAGTGATGAATTCCATTCAATTGATTGTTCCACAATGATCCGTAGCGTTTTAATTTGGTCTGTTCACGATCGATCCTTACGGAATCGAGCCTGTTGGTCTCGAAGTTGAGCATCTACGGAGTCCTTCATTCTGTTTAACAATACCCTGTCGAAGACTTTTCCCGGTATTGAGAGAAGAGTGATGCCCCTGTAATTATCACAGTTGCTGAGATCGCCTTTCTTCGGTATTTTGACCAGGTGTCCTTCTTTCCACTCTGTTGGTACTTGTTCCTCATCCCAAATCTTGCTTAAGAGAATGTGGAGTATCCTTGCAGTTACTGCTACGTCTGCTTTCAGTGCTCGTGCTGGAATGTTGTCTGGTCCCGCTGCTTTTCCACTCTTGATTTCTCTGACGGCCATGCTGATTTCTTCAATTATTGGTTGGCCAACATTGATTAGGAGGTCCGTGGGTGCTGCTTCGATATTGGGTGGGTTCAGTGGAGCTGGTCGATTCAAGAGTTCTTTGAAGTGTTCTACCCACCTGTTTTGTTGCTCTTCAATGTTGGTGATTACCTCGCCTTCCTTGCTTTTCACTGGTCGTTCTGGTTTGCGGCGATTTCCAGAGAGTTTCTTTGTCGTGTCATACAGTTGTCTCATGTTTCCTTCTCTTGCAGCCTTTTCCGCCGTCATTGCTAAATCTTCCACATATTTACGTTTGTCGGTTCTGATGCTCCTCTTCACTTGTTTGTTTACTTCCGTGTATTCAGCTTGTGCCTTGACTTTTTCTGCTCTTGTTCGGCTGGTATTGATCGCTGCCTTCTTGTTCCTTCTTTCTTGAATCTTATCCAGTGTGTCAACAGTGATCCATTCCCTGTGATGGGGCTTATTGTGACCCAGAACCTCATAACATGTTGAAGTGATTGCCTCTTTGATCCCCTTCCAGTTGCTCTCCATAGTAGTTCCTTCTCCACTGAGTAGATCATGAAAGGCCTGGGACTTATTGCTGAGGACTATCTTGAATTTGTTGAGTTTGTTAGTATCCTGAAGAAAGGCCGTATTGAACATTTGTGATATTGTCCGCCCCATTGTCCAGTGCTTGTTGAGTTTCAATCTCATCTTGGCGACCAGCAAGTGATGATCTGAGGCTATATCAGCTCCTCTCTTGGTTCTCACGTCCTCTATAGTCCTCCTGAACGTTTTGTTGATGCAAATATGGTCGATTTGGTTTTGTGTATAGTGATCCGGTGAAGTCCATGTGGTTTTGTGTATGCGTTTATGTGGGAATATGGTGCCGCCTATGACCAGCTTATTGAAGGCACATAGATTTGCAAATCTCTCACCATTTTCGTTCTTTTCTTCCTCTTTCTTTGTTTTGAAGGAGGCTTTGATGATCCTGAGTTCATGAGATTCCCATCCTATAAGTGCCTTTTGTGCTTGTTTGGACAGCATCAATGCAACTCCTTGTGTATGTGGAGCATGTTCTTCTTCATGGCCGGAGTACAACAGAAGATCCCCTGAAGCTAGTCGTTGTTGTCCAACTTGCGTCCAATGTGTTTCACTGATCCCAAGCACCTCTAGACTGTACGAACCATCAATGCTAATTAGTTAATAAGGACGACCAGTTTTTATTATCGATTGAGCTAGTGTGTCATGAGATCTAATCAATATAACATTAAGATAATGCATGTGAGCATTAATCAGAGGACTATTAGAATACAGGGTTAACATAAATATAAAATCGATCTAGAAAGTTGAAGTGGAAATAAGGATTAATAATAATAGGTTACGTTTCTTTAGTTGGGCTCACCAATGTAGAACTATGGTCTACTATGATATTCGTACTGCGCTAATAATAGACCTAATCCTAAAATTATAGAGTGGAAGTTACATCATCGTCTACACCAACTCATTGCATCATAACAATTATCAATACATGATGGAGAACAAGCTTAGGCTAGAGATAGGACAATATATTTTATACGAATAAAAGATATAATATAACAGGGACCACACCTACATGGCCGAGCCATGCCATTCGATCAACTCCAACTCATTCAATTCCTTGTTTGCGCCTTCTCCATTGTTAGGTATTTCTCCGCGTTAAATATTGAATATCTATTTTCTGAGTAGTCTCGTGTTCATAGCTTTGTGGACTGTGTGGCTATTGTCCAATGCCACTACAAGTTTACAGCAATCAAGCGGGAAGAGACAAAGTTTATGAGTTGTGATGATCAGATTAAGTAGACTTACACACTCACTTAACTCACGTGTTTACACCAAAACACACAAACCTATGGTTCTTGAAGACGATCTATTCTTATTAATCGGCAGAGCACAGCTTACGTCTTAGGAGGCTGAGGAATAAATACTATTAATAGATAAGGTTATATATTGTGGAGTTGGCAACTATGGGGATTTTCCAAGGTGTTTTACGAACTTTTTCACTCAACGTAGTCAAACGACAGCAAATAATCGACAAAGTCTTGTTCTTTGCATTGGAGAGCACTATACCTTTTTGTCTTTGAAGGAAACTCAGACATTTTGTCACTGGGAAGACTAACCGCTATGGAATCCGGACATTTTTATAGCTTTTTATTAAAGATTTTATAACTCCTGGAGGTCCTAGACTATTGGGGGATATTATTGGCTAAGTCTTAGAACGTACATTTTAA